TCGACCTCAGGTGGAATGGAAATCCATAACTCAAGCAATTTCTTTGATCCTTCATCATCTAGCCTGCAAACATTTCAAGATTAAATTTTCTGTTTGTTCTTATTTCAGTTTTGGAGAATTATATATATATATATATAATAAATCTTGTACGTTTGTTCAGAATCTCAAGGATCTAAAACATATCTATGTTGACGGGGCAAATATATCACCACAGGGAAGGATTAGTGCTGGGCCTTGTCTTCTTCTCTGCCCAAGTGCTCAAAACAAGTTCGAAGCCCTCGGTTGAGAAAGCAAGATCCCTTTTTGGATAACTGGATTTTTTTTATAGATCGAATTCTTTCGGGCTTCCTGCCCAACATAAACGAATGATCTAGATCCATTAAATTCTTGTCATCAAATTGAACTTCTTTTGGGCTTTCCGGTGAAGGCATTTAACGGACATGCAAGACCCCTATCAACGTTGCTGGATGAAGTCTGCGTAAGAAAATAAAATATTATTCTTTTACTTTTCTTCCACCCTCTCCTGCCCTCTCCAATAATTTGCTTTTGTGTCCACCTTTTCCAGTTATTTGCTTCTGTGTCTCATGTCATTTGTATCCATTACGCTTCTACAAAAATTTACCAGGCCTAAAATTGTTCTCCATTCAATAATTAATTTTAAATTGGATTACTTCATTTATTTGGTACCTTTTCCCATGAAGATTCATTTGGTTGTTAGGTATTTCTCCATTGATTAGTAACTACTGAACAAAATTTTTAGAACTATTACAGGAGAATTGGTTAGTTCTAAGGTTTAGATACTTTCTTTAGTATAATATTACACTATGGATTAAAATTAACATCATGGTTTTTTTTTTATTTAACAAAATTAAATTATTTTATGACTACAAGTACTAAACATGTTTCTATAGTTGAAAATCTCAGTAAAATTGATGTAAGCTTGATATTGGTATACAGTTTCGTTATAAAAAGAAAGCATACTCGTCGGCTTAGAGCTCTTAGAACACACGAAGAGGAAACTAGCTAGCGGAGAAATGGTGAAAAAGGAGCATTACATCCTCCCACAGTTGTTCTACAAATAAGAGATGCTTATATCCTTTGC